CACTTTCCCCCACAGAGATGTTGAGGCAGAGCTTGTGGGTGTGGAGTTCCCTCATGGGGCTCTCCTTTTCACCTTGATCCTGTGCCATGATGAGATACAGATGTGTTCTCCAAAGCCAGATACACTGTCAGATCCTTCGGCATCAGGAGAAATGAAAAAATTGCCGTCCACTGCATAGTCTGTGGGGCCAAGGCAGAAGAAATCTTGGAGAGAGGTCTAAAGGTTCAAGAGTATGAATTACAAAAAAATAACTTCTCAGATACTGGAAACTTTGGTTTTGGGATCTAGGAACACATTAATCTGGGGATCAAATATGACCCAAGCCTTGGTATCTATGGCCTGGACTTCTATGTGGTGCTGGGTAGGCCAGGTTTCAGCATTGCAGACAAGAAATGCAAGACAGGCTGCATTAGGGACAAATACAGAATCAGCAAAGAGGAGGCCAAAATCTGGTTCCAGCAGAAGTATAACGGGATCATCCTTCCTGGCAAATAAATTCTCATTTCTATCCAAAAGGCCAATAAAATATTTTCAGTGAAAAACGAAAAACAAAAAAAAAATCTCACATTTTCTTTAAAACATTTTTGAAGATTATATATACACACATATGTAATTTTTAAATATTTAGATGGTTTGATTTAATCTAGGGTTTTTTTTACTAATAAGTCTTATTAAAATATGTTATTTTTTATTTTGTAAAATGCCTTTTTAGTATAGAACATATAAATCATATATTTAAAAAATATTTTTCAATAGTTTTGTTTCTTGTAGGACAGATATGCAAAATAGGATCACAGTAATCTTGACAAGAAAAGACCTTAGGGATTATGAGGACCTCAGAGAAATTGAGTCTCTACAACCCTAAAATCTCTCTTTTCTGAAGCCCTCTGCTCCAGGCTGGAAGTGAAGCAAATTGCTGGAGTCTTCCTGAAGCACTGGAGAAAGCCGAGTGGCTGAGTGATTCACCTGGATGACATTCCAGTGAAAAGCAAAGGGATACATTGTTTCTGCTTTTCTTTTTTTTTTTTTTTTTTTTTTTAAAAAAA